TGGGTTATTTCTTTATTTGTTATTAGCATTCTAGAATAGTGTTAAACATATATTTCTTATATTTTTTGTATTTGGTTTATTCTTTTTCATTTTTAGTTTTTTTTTTTTCTTTTTTTGATTCGTATATATTAGAATTTTTTCTTTAATAAAATTTTGGTTTGTTGGAATTTTGTCTGCGATAAAAATTATAGTTTTAGGTTTAAAGTTATCGATATTTAATGGTAAAAACTTTGCCGATATTAATTTCATCACATATATAATAGTTTTATATATAGAAGCTTCTTTATTTGTAATGATTTAGTTAAAATTTCGATTAACCAATAAAATTTTCATGATATCACAGAATGATCTACGAAAATTGGCCAATCATAGCGAAAGCCTTTTATGCTATATAGAATAACTTTATTTAATACAAAAATAGTGATAAGCCTTGCCTATAGAAATTACTCTAGAAGAAGAATATCATACTTTACAAGATAAGAAAAGTTAAAGATTATCAGAGTCTAATTAAAGTGTAAAAAGTTAAGATTTGGCAAGAAGAAGAAAAAGCACACTTTATATATCTTTTCTACCCAAGACAAAGATACACAACACACAGTAAAGAAGTAACACTTGGCAGGGAAAGTTGCTAGAGGGTGTTGGGGGATTGTGTTGGGGAAATATAAATATAGTATTACTCATTTTGATTATATTTTATTTATTGTTTGTGAAGGAGAGCTTAAGAGAAGGGAACCTGGGAGATTTTATGATGTATTTAAAATACTTAAGTTCATATAGAAGAATCTGGAGGATTTCATATAGAGGAACTTGAGGGAAATTGTATTACTTTCTTGTATTACCTTTTTGTATAATCTAAAATACTTCTTTGTATAATCTTGTATTATCTCAGGTCATGTAGATTATGTAACTACACTACATATCTTTCTAGCCAATCAAATTATTCCTATACAACGACTATAAAATTACTATTTAATATATATACAGTATAATAATATAATATAATATAATATAATATATTAATAATAGAATAAATATTAATATTACACCCTGTTATATAAATTATTTGTTACAGGTTATATATAGATATAAAATTTGAAGATCATGTGTATGTGAATGCATTCAAGTAACTTTTAATGGAATTTACCTCGTATCTTTTTTTTCATTAATTCTTCATTTTTAATATTTGGTTCCTAACTGATTTCATGACGTGACAACATTCTTAACTGTTCTTAAAAGTAACGTATACTATTGCACTTTTATAAACTAATAAATTTGATATTGAGCAGGTAGAAGCGACGTTTAAATATGGTTGCTCAACTGATTAATGCTGAGGCCAGTACCTTTTACGTAGTTAATTCTGAAACTGGTACTTCATATGCGGTTAATGCAGAAGTCAGTATCCCTTATACGGTTATGATTGATCAAGTAGCAAATATTGAAAGTAGCACTTCCTATGTGTTTACTGCTGAAGCTATTATCTTTGGTGCAGTAAATGCTAAATTCAGTATCTTCTACGTGGTTAGCTCATATATGATTGATACTGAGACTAACGCTCTCTGCAAAAATGCAGTTTATGATGAAGCAACTACTGAGGAGGTTAACAGTATAGGTATTAGTAATACTGTAGTATAAAGTTATGGTTTGTTATAGGTTTAGTTTTAATGTTTCAAGCTTGCAAACTTATTTTTTAGGTGAGATGCAACACGATTTTTCTTTACTAAAACTTGGTTATATGTTTCTTTCATGGGATGATGTTGAAGCTTTTTTAAAGCTTATGGTTAGTATCATTGGTTTGCTGTTATTAAAATAAAGGTTGAACAGTATAACGACGGTATAATTAGATATCAATCTTTTGGATATGAGTTTGGAGGAAAATATATACCTAAGAAGAGTATCGACATTAATGCTCACCGCAACCGACAATCAAAACGTAAAGGATGTAAATAGCATATTAATCTAAGTTTGCCTAAAAAATCCAATCATATTATAGTTACAACATTTGTAAATACCCACAACCATAAACTTGATCCTGAAAAGTGTAAATACAATGCTAAGTTCAGATCAATTGGAGACAAAGCATTGAACGATATTGAGTTTTATACAAAAAATAGAAATCTTTCGATTACTATACAGCATCAATTACTAAAAGCAAAGTACCCTGATACAACTTTTTTAGATATGAATCTCACTAACGCTATTCAACATTATAAAGTTAAGTCTAAAGATCTTAAAAATGATGCCTCACAGCTTTTATTATATCTTACTGAGAAGCGTTCAGAAGAGTCAGGTTGGAGTGTTGAATTCGAGTTAGATAGCGATAACTGCCTTACCCGGATTTTCTGGATGACTTCTGAACAGATATCCCTTTGGCTGAAATATCATGATGTCATTTTAAATGATAATACATCTAAGACGAATCGATATTAGATGCCTTTGAGTTTGTTCCTTGCTGTCGATAATAATACGAGATCTCATTTAGTTGCACAAGTATTAGTTTCTGATAAAACTGTTGACTCATATCTATAGATTCTCCAATGCACTATGAAAGCTACAGGTGTTGAGCCTATAGTCTTTGTGATAGATGCAGATCCAGCGATGGACAGTGCGTTAAAACAAGTGTATGAAAATACTTATTCATTACATTGTATTTTTCACATCAGCCAAAACCTTCCAAAGAATTTGAAAGGAACGTTAGGTAATGTGTATGATCAATTCGTCAAAGATTTTCACCTCTGCTGTAATACTTTGATGAGATGCTATTTGAGTCCAGATGGAAAATTTTATTAGAAAAGTTTCTATCTGCTTCAAGTTACCTGAATCGGACTCTTTACCCTAGTCGTTACTTATGGGCTTGTGCTTTCATATCCAAAGTTTTTATAGCAGGAATTCAAACTACATCACGCGTTGAAGGGTATGTTGTAAATTAATACGTTATAATTTGATTTGGTTAGAGTTAGGGTTAGATTTATGATTATTGTTGGGTTAGATTTATGGGTTAGGGTTTGGGTTAGGTATAGGTGTATAAATTGGGTTAGGATAATTTAAGATCGTGTCAGATATTATAGTCAGGGAGTTTATCATATTTGGTAATTGACAATCATGCCTTATTTGGCAATAATCATCAATCGGATTATTCTAGTTCTTTTTCTAGATTGTTGCAGATCATTCTACGTGTACAATGATTGACCAATCAAATTAATCAAACTAAGAGCCTATATTAATTGGTTTCTTAACGAAACTTCAAAAATGCTGAAATGCTTTAGTTTTTTTCGTAACTCATTTTAAGTTTTTTTTCGTAACTCATTTTATCTTACTTGCTTTTTTTATTATACACAGGGTTACTAGTATAAATTAAAACTTTAAATGGATTAGCAAAGACACATTATGAAAGGTTGTCAACTTCGAATCTTGCAGATACATTTACGAGAATATTACACTGAAAGGTTTAAATTTTAAATTTATTGAAAGCTCAAATTTAATGTTCATTTAGTATAGAAGTAACAATAGGCTTTTAAAAAACATTTGCTTATTCTGATAGATTGAAACATTAATATCTTGCCGTCCAAATCCTTAACTAATATAG